GAGGTTCAAGTAGTTGATGGATGCGACGGAGAAGAAGATCAAGCTCGAAGAGAGGAGGACCATGATCGAGGAGAGAAAGGCGACGCTCGAGGAGAAGAATGCCGCGCTCAAGGAAAAGAGGGTGAAGATCGCCGCCAATGCGAAGGACGCCAAGATGTTGACCTTGAATATTGACTCTTTGGATGATGATGCTAGAATTATAGTCCATCCGCTATCAGATGCTGGAGTGACAGAAATACAAGTTGGCGGTGGCGCAAGATGAGGACGCGGTGGAGGTGGACGTGGACGCGGAGGCTGCCTACGTTGCGTCGACGACACCTCCTTGACCGGGAAGCATCTTGCTGGGATGGCCGCTCCGGCAGGGTAATAATGCACGTACTGTTGAACTGATGTTCTTTTGAATTCGGACATGTAAAAACTAAGCATATTAATTTGCCTCCTTTTGGTTATGATCGGGGATGTAATGCGGCGCGGGTGTGATCTGGCGCGTTGTGTGGATCAATGTAGATTTGAATTTGAATTTGCTGACGGACAGAATACGGGAAGTGTTGGATGGCTGTCTCCCGCATCCGTGTCCGTAGACTGGTCTCCTTGTCTGCGGACGGATGCGGAAGATTTTTTGCGGGTTGCCGTTGAAGATGCCCTTGGGCCATATATAGTGCTGGGTGCTTATGCACCCATGCTTGAAGACATAATATAATTACATATCAAACTAAATTGTGTCCACAACCCAGAATGTGTCACATACTCCCTCCGTCCTCGAAAGAGTGTACTTTCAATTTTGTTGGAAAGTCAAGTTTTTTTTATGTTTGACCGTAATTATACAATAATAGACCAACATTTATGCCATCAAATTAGTAGCATTAGATTCATGATAAAATATATTTTCGTCGTATACCTATTTGGTGTCACAAGCATTGACATATTTTTGCATAAACTCGGTCAAACTTTGAGATAGTTGACCCTCCAACAAAGTTGGAAGTACACTCTTTCAAGAACGGAGGGAGTATGTGCTTAACAGAATCTGACAGCGATGACGGCGGTATCAGGATGACAATTATCTCTCGAAGACACCGCGTAGCATTGAAAGCCAAAGTTTACTTCTACCCCCTTCTTAAGCACTTGTGTAAACTAATGTCATAAATAAGCGCTTGCCTCTTTGGTGATACTTATTTCGTGTGAAATTTGATCAGAGCGCAACGCAAAGGTCTTTCGTAGAACCGTCGCCCCTTCCATGACCATTATTGCTACTATCAAAGAGGAGATGTCTTGGGCTTTGTGGCCAGTACTAAGCATTTGAGTGTTGTTATGGCAGTAGACTCCTATTTCCCCGCTTACTTCTCCTTAATCAATGACATGGTAAATCATATCTTATTTGAAAAATGTCATAAATGGTCCCTTTTTTTCTTGAGGCACCTATATTAGCAGGAGTACATTGTACATGGCCATGGCCTTAGTGAAGCCCATATACGTGTCGAACTAGTGGTATGGTGAAATTATATAATGAATTGACCTGGAGTAAATATATGTGCTACTACTGGAATTGTTGCTACTGCTGCTACTACTAAAACAACAGTAGACTACTCTCTCTGTCTTTAAATATATGGCGTGTGAATTCAGTAAAAAAAGTGAATGCTCATTAAGTTTGACCAGATTGGAAGAAGAAAATATCAACAATAATATTGAAAAAATAAATTATGAAAATATATCTAATGTGGATATAATTATATTGCTTTCCCATTGTTTATTTTTATATTCCCTCCATCCGGAAATACTTGTCGAAAAAATGGATACAAATGGATGTATCTAGAATTAAAATACATCTAGATACGTCCATTCCCGAGACAAGTATTTCCGGACGGAGGGAGTATTTTTGTTTGATCAAACTTAGAAATCATTGACTTTTTGATTGAATTTATATGCCATCTATTTAGGGATGGGAGTAATAGTAACTAATCATAATCTAAATTCCAAGAATTTTCGAGCATCAAAGTACGCCAATATCATGATTCCATCGTAGGTGGGCAATGGGGGGAGTAGGGGGACGTTTTCATATTGAGTAAAAAAAATTATTGCTGGTAGTCCGCGTTGGTTTGAAGAGTTGGTCGGTTCCCCAGGGATCCGAGTGTAATTTATTTTCTTGCTGGGGTGCTCTGTAACACTTACAATTTCAATATAATCCAATGTCCTTCCGAACAAAAAAACTTACTCCGGCATGGATATTTCACCCAGCTGCTCTGGGGATAGCATTGGCTAGCTAGCTCCCATCGATGATTGGTGCGATCCCATTGTTTGTTGTTACATGAGATTTTACCATGCCATCCAGTAATTTTCGGTAATTAGTTGAGTAAGTACAGTTACTTGCTCTCTCTCTCTCTCTCTCTCTCTCTCTGCCACCGGTCACCAGCGTCAAGTCGTCTGTCACCCACCAAGCCAACAAGGAAGAAATCAGTGACCCTACCGACCCAGCCCAAGAACCGTCGTAGAAGGTTAGAAGAAATCTGTCGGGCAAGAAGTGGGAGGAGGAGAGGGCGAAGCGAGAAGGTGCGACAACCAAGCTGATGGAGAGGTTCGAGGAGATCTCGGTGAAGAAGGAAGATGCATGCATGAGGCACTCGGGCATCAAGGAGGAGCGGAAGGCGGAGAGGTTCAAGTAGTTGATGGATGCGACGGAGAAGAAGATCAAGCTCGAAGAGAGGAGGACCATGATCGAGGAGAGAAAGGCGACGCTCGAGGAGAAGAATGCCGCTCTCAAGGGAAAGAGGGTGAAGATCGCCGCCAATGCGAAGGATGCCAAGATGTTGACCTTGAATATCGACTCTTTGGATGATGATGCTAGAATTATAGTCCGTCCGCTATCAGATGCTGGAGTGACAGAAATACAAGTTGGCGGTGGCGCAAGATGAGGACGCGGTGGAGGTGGACGTGGACATGGAGGCTGCCTACGTTGCGTCGACGACACCTCCTTGACTGGGAAGCATCTTGCTGGGATGGCCGCTCCGGCAGGGTAATAATGCACGTACTGCTGAACTGATATTCTTTTGAATTCGGACATGTAAAAACTAAGCATATTAATTTGCCTCCTTTTGGTTATGATCGGGGATGTAATGCGGCGCAGGTGTGATCTGACGCATTGTGTGGATCAACGTAGATTTGAATTTGAATTTCCTGGCGGACAGAATACGGGAAGCGTTGGATGGCTGCCTCCCGCATCCGTGTCCGCAGACTGGTCCCCTTGTCTGCGGACGGATGCGGAAGATTTTTTGCGGGTTGCCGTTGAAGATGCCCTTGGGCCATATATAGTGCTGGGTGCTTATGCACCCATGCTTGAAGACATAATATTATTACATCTCAAACTAAATTGTGTCCACAATGCAGAATGCGTCACATATGTGCTTAACAGAATCTGACAGCGATGCCAGCGGTATCAGGATGACAATTATCTCTCGAAGACACCGCGTAGCATTGAAAGCCAAAGTTTACTTCTACCCCCCTTCTTAAGCACTTGTGTAAACTAATGTCATAAATAAGTGCTTGCCTCTTTAATGATACTTATTTTGCGTGAAATTTGATCAGAGCGCAACGCAAGGGTCTTTCGTAGAACCGTCGCCCCTTCCATGACCATTATTGCTAAGATCAAAGAGGAGATGTCTTGGGCTTTGTGGCCAGTACTAAGCATTTGAGTGTTGTTATGGCAGTAAACTCCTATTTCCCCGCTTTGCGAGTTTTGTCTAAACTCTTAATCAATGACATGGTAAATCATATGTTATTTAAAAAATGTCATAAATGGTCCCTTTTTTTTTCTTGAGGCACCTATGTTAGCAGGAGTACATTGTACATGGCCATGGCCTTAGTGAAGCCCATATACGTGTCAAACTAGTGGTATGGTGAAATTATATAATGAATTGACCTGGGGTAAATATATGTGCTACTGCTGCTACTACTACAACAACAGTAGACTACTCTCTCTGTCTTTAAATAGATGGCGTATGAATTTAATAAAAAAAGTGAATGCTCATTAAGTTTGACCAGATTGGAAGAAGAAAATATCAACAACTACAATATTGAAAAAATAAATTATGAAAATATATCTAATGTGGATATAATTATATTGCTTTCCCATTGTTTACTTTTATGTTTTTGTTTGATCAAACTTAGAAAGCATTGACTTTTTGATTGAATTTATACGCCATCTATTTAGGGATGGAGGTAATAGTAACTAATCATAATCTAAATTCCAAGGATTTTCGAGCATCAAAGTGCGCCAATATCATGATTCCATCGTAGGTGGGCAATGGGGGGCACTAGTAGGGGGACGTTTTCATATTGAGTAAAAAAAATTATTGCCGGTAGCCCGCGTTGGTTTGAAGAGTTGGTCGGTTCCCCAGGGAGCCGAGTGTAATTTATTTTCTTGCTGGGGTGCTCTGTAACACTTACAATTTCAATATAATCCAATGTCGTTCCGAACAAAAAAACTTACTCCGGCATGGATATTTCACCCAGCTGCTCCGGGGATAGCATTGGCTAGCTAGCTCCCATTGATGATTGGTGCGATCCCATTGTTTGTTGTTACATGAGATTTTACTATGACATCCAGTAATTTTCAGTAATTCGTTGAGGAAGTACAGTTACTTGCTCTCTCTCTCTCTCTCTGTCACCGGTCACCAGCGTCAAGTCGTCTGTCACCCACCCACCAAGACGTTACCGACGGAGACCGAGACCGTGAGAAAGTTCCAAAAATCCGTTCCTTATCGACGCGTCTGCTCCGCTCCGCACCGCACCAAAAATGATGCGCGACCCCAGTCCTACTCTCCCCAGTTGTTACTCCCAGCCAGCAGCACCGTCCAGGGCCCGGCCGCACGCTACAACTAGAACCAACCCCAGCCCCGGTGCAGTGCACAGCCAGTGTAGCTAGGCTCTCTCGCAGCGAGAGCAGGACGCAGGACGGCTAGCTAGCTTTGATCGGCCGGCCGGATCGGAGTGCTCGTGTGTCGGGGGCCATGGCCGGCGCCGCGGGCGACAGGGCGGAAGGTGTGGGCGGTGGCGGGGACGGGCCGCCGTTCGCCGGCGACGCCTTCGCGGAGTACTCGTCGTCGGTGTTCGCGGAGCTCGGTGGATGGTCGGATGGCCTTGGCGCGGGCGCCGGGGAGCTGCCGCCGCTGGATCTGCCGGCGGCGAGCGCGTCCGGGCCGGTCCCGATGGCGCGGTCGGACGAGATCATGCCGGCCGCGTCAGGCGAGCCCGCAGGCGCCGCCTCCTCCTGCTCCAGCGGCGACGGCGCCGCAGCCGCCGCGGAGAACGCCGACAAGCCGCAGGAGGCCGCCGACGCAGCGTGAGTCTAGCGGCCCGTCCACCTCTCATCTCTGCCTCGCTTTGCTTGCGACATGGTTACGCGGATCGCGCGTCCGCGAGGGGCAATTCCGGCAGCGCGCGCGGGCCGCGACGTGTCCACGCGGATCCGCCGTGATTCGCGTGCGTACTATACGTAGTAGTAGATCGTTCCCGGTCTCACTCACTCTCACGCGGTTTCTCTTTTATTTTTTCTTCTTCTCTCTCCACACTCTCTACTCTACACCGGCCTCTTGGGTTCTTTGTTTATTCTTCGTCCCCTTTCCTCGCGTATTGGTACGCCATTCGTATACGCGTACGCATGTATTACTGCGCGTGCGTACTATACATCATCACTTCTAGATCTGATCGTTTGATCAGACAAGTACATATTAATTTCATAATATACATGTTGAGCTAAGCATGCTAGCTAGCGAGCAATCCCGGTATTTCTTGACGGAGGGAGTACTAGCTAACCATCCATGAAGAATTCACCCCGAAAAATCAAGTGTCGATATGTATTTCTTTGACAGAATCAAGTGTTGATATGTATGTGTGCGCGCAGGAGCATGAAGCCGGCGGCGGCGGCAGGGAAGAAGGGGCAGAAGCGGGCGCGGCAGCAGCGGTTCGCCTTCGTGACCAAGAGCGAAGTTGATCACCTCGAGGATGGGTACAGATGGAGGAAGTATGGGCAGAAAGCCGTCAAGAACAGCCCTTTCCCAAGGTACTTCATCCACATCTATCCATCACTTCACTTGTGTTGCTTATAATGTTCTAATAGTACTCCCTCCGTCCGGAAATACTTGTCGGAGGAATGAATGTATCTAGACGTATTTTAGTTTTAAATACATCTATTTTTATGCATTTCTCCGACAAGTATTTCCGGACGGAGGGAGTATTTGTTATTTGCACACATGGACGCTTTTGGTTTCTTATTTCGGCCTACTGCCTTTTTCTCTCAAAGAAAACTACAAGCGTTTTCTAAGAGAAAATCATGTGCAAGCAGTTTATAACGATCGACCTTGACCAAACGTATGGATCATGGTGTTGCTGTTTGATCAGACGCGGTTGGCGATTAATTTGGACCTTTTGTTTCTGATCAGCTATTCCCTATAGACAGTATATATGAGATTTTCAGTTAATTACCGTATTGGAAAGAGGTCTCTATTGGAAATGACTGCCCAACCCATCTTCTAGAAGCTATGGAATCTTTTTTTTCCCAACTGAGCTTTACCCCATGTAGCTGTAGAATCGGCAGGGCAGAGAGCTTACCCAATGTAGCTAACAGAATCTGCAGAGTAGATACGGGTGACTAATGGGGAGTGAGGATATTTGAGATGAGGCATAGAAAGCATGCAATCTTCTTGTGGCGGTTCATTTTCAACTTTTCTCTTCGGGGTATATGCATACGTTCTCACCGAACTGGCTTTCGATTTTGAGCAGGAGCTACTACCGGTGCACCAACAGCAAGTGCACCGTGAAGAAGCGGGTGGAGCGGTCGTCGGAGGACCCCTCCGTGGTGATCACCACCTACGAGGGCCAGCACTGCCACCACCAGACCTCCTTCCAGCGCGGCGGCATGCACTTCCACGGCGCCGCCACCGTTGCGCTCGCCGAGCAGATGTCGTTCGTGTCAACTCAGCAGCTGTACAACCTGCCGCCCCTGCGCCGACAACAGATGAATCCTGCATCGTCGGAGTCCGCCGTTAGCTCCGTGCCGCCGTCTTTGCAGCAGCTCAACGGCGGCGACGAACTGCGAAGGTCAACTAGCTATAGCCCCACGGCGTCCGCGGTGCAGACACCGTCGTCGTCGTTGGTGCCTCCGGACGTTTCCTTTGACATGGGACTGCTTGGCGACATCGTGCCTCCAGGAGTAAGAAATGGATGAAGATCTATAATGGTAATTATTTTAAGATAATAGGTTTATAAGCGAGAACGGCTACGGTGTGGACGAGCTCGTGCGCTCCCGCTAGCTGGACGAACGACTCCATGACGCGTAGCACAGCGTATTTACTGCTATGGTGTGCATTGACGTCGAGTACAGGTGCTCCACCGTCCAAACTAACCCGAAAGTAGCGGCTCAGCTTCGTGTTGTTCCGTTGGAACATGAATGTCGGAGTGGCCCATAACCGAATGCCGCCGTCAACTTTCGCTACTGAGATGGCGTCCTCCGAAAGGGTACTTGGGTGCCCAACTCTCAAAAGTAAATGGGTACCCATGTTTGGGCCCATGGTTGTCTCAGCGTCGCTGACCAGTAAAAGAAATATATCTTCCTTCTCCCATAGCCGCCTACAGAGCAGGAGCTCATGGCGATGCAGATGTCGACATAGCCGCCTACAGAGCAGGAGCTCATGGCGATGCAGATATCGGCCGCTGGAGGTGTTGAAGTCGAGTTTTTGTCAGATCCCGTCGACAGGTACACTTTTCCGCTACCAGTTTCTCTTCCCGTCGACAGGTACACGTTTAGCAGCTGATCTGTTGTATCCTTCTCGAAAAAGATTTCCACTGCGAGATCTCGCTGCCGCACAGCCCTTGGTTGCTTACGAGACGTACAAATCCATGGAGTGTGAGCCTGCTGAGTCCAGCATTGGTGATGTGGAGACGCTCCGGTCAACAGTAATTGCAATGCGATTGCCTTGTTTGCAGCAGCATCTGAGCATTCTACGGGCAAAGACACCCCTGAAGCCCCAGGCTGGAGGAAGAGGTACAACAGTTTGCCAAATCTTCAGTTAGCATTATATGTGCAGATGACCTGTTCTTGCGTTATCTTAAGACGAATTGTCGGATATTCAAATTCAGTTGTGTATCACATGTAATTAAACACTGCATTCAACGATGAGGCCTAAGAAATTCAATCCAATTGATGCAGAATGCGAGTCGGAAGTTCATCTAGCGAGCGCCACCCATGCGCTGACAGGATGAGTGCTTTGGAAGCAACACTAAGAAGCTATGCAGAGCAAAAAAATGACACTGTCGTAGTTCCTACTATGGGGACAAAATTTGATTCTCTTGAAGAAGCCTGCTAGAACATGTTCCTGGATGTGCATGGATGCAGAAAATGTCCTTGGGATATAGAGCTGGAAATCTGGGACTTAGGGTGTTCTAGAGCATCCATGCCATCCAAGTGAGAGGAGAATATCCTTTGTCTTTAGGACATGCTTGCTGAACATGCAAGTTCGCTAGACGAAGGATGGGTATAACTGATGAAGCTTTATGCAGTCTATTGGCACCCATCTCGTACAGAGCTATTGCCGAGAGCGCCTTTGCATCTGACGTCGTGCGCCAGAGTTGGTCATAGGGGACCACACGCAGCTTGATCAGCTCGACATGGTCCCGCAGGCCCGTTTCCTTCCCTTGGAGAGCCTAAGGCTGGCCATAGTGGGGGTAACATAACCTGTAACATGCACTTGGGACTAGCAAATATGCTTATGTGGCACATAATTAAAGAGGAGAGAGAGGGTTAGAGTAACATAGGTAGATACCATATCATGTTAAATGCTATGCTACTTTGTGTCATGCATGGCAATAAATATGATCATCTATGATACTACTTTATGTTACTATGCACTATGGAGGTAGTATCATACACTAGTATCATATGCATGATACTAGTATATGTTACTTCCCACTATGACCAGCCTAATAGTCTCCTCGTCCACGTGCCCCCTATAAAGGAACATGCCAATCTCTTTGTCACAACCACCCTGGTAAAAAGAGGAAGATGTTTAGTCGAGGTATTGCACAACCAGGAGCAAGTGTAAGTTCTTAGAACAGGTGTTGAAATTGCGTCAGCATGGATCAAGAGAACTTTTCCATTCCAGGTATATGATGCCAAATGAACATCCCATTTATAGAAGTTTTGCTGAATCACATGACAAAATTGCTATGCAGTACACTTTGCTATGTTTCCAAGCAGGATTATTACTGATCTGCAAAGTTATTGCGAACTGAATTCATCCATCTGTCTTCTGCTTTTTTGTGTTGCGTGTGATTCTCAACAAAAACATATGGGTATAATGAGGCAAGGAACCCAAACTACGTATATCAAATGTTATCATCAGGTCTGCCCAGTGCACGGAAGCCAATCTGAGTCAAGTTATGTTATTCTTTTTTGAAACAGAAGTTATGGCTTAATTGTGAACGGAAGGGAATACAGGCCACTTACTGGTGATGGTAGCATTCTGCACCCAGTAGCAGGGTCCGGCGAAGCAGTAAGATCAACCATGCCCTGTAGATTTAACTTTATACCAGTTTCTTCTTCGACCTAGCAACAATCCAAGTATAATTAGCGAAGAGTGACGTATACATTAACTGAATACTTAGTACTTCAGAAATTAAGTCGAATTCCTGCAGTGGCAGCAAGATTGGTGTATGTCTTGTGAACCAAATCGAGGTAAAACAGGGCTAGTGTGACTGACTAGCTGCAATAGCATGCAAAATTCAGTGGATATAAACTGTATATTTGGGGAAAGAAGATACTAATCTCTCGGACTGCGGTGATGTGACTCGATTAGGCTCGGTTTCTTGGTAGCTAAAGGTAACATTTTGTTTTGCGGTTTCTTGGAAGTTTCAGAGAAACATGAGTTACCTCCTTATGTTCACTAACTCCTATATCACTGTTTCAGCAAGGGTCACTTGCTGATGAAGATTCCCGAATCTCTCTGAAGATTGAGATTGTGTAGATCGAAAAACTAAGGGCAAACCCGAGTAGCGAGAACCAATTAAAGGTGGAAGTATAAAAATCTCAGAAAACAAAGACATAGTAAGTTGGAGATTTAGAACTTTACATGTGCATAGCTATTCCCATCGAATTGAATAAAAATATCAATTCACCCACGATTCTGACCTAATCGATTTGGATGGAACTGCCACTTTCCCCAAAAAGTTCTGAAAATCCTGATGGAGATCATAAGCTACAGACATGCAACCGTGATATCTCTACAGCTAAACGCTGCTGCGATATCTCAAATATTGGGCCAGTGTTTGGCAGACATCATATTTGGAAGTTGAAAGTGTGGATTAAGATTAAAAATTGCATATGATTTTTACAACCTAAGGTAATCGTCAGTAAAGATGATCTGGTCATACAAAAAATCATCACGCATAAAAACTAATGATTTAATTTATGTTTAGATGAGCGGCCCCTGTTAGCTGCAGTTGCTAGCCAGTTGACTAAGACCTGGTATATACTTTACACATCATAGCAGCCTTTTTGATAAACTATCTACTACATATTATTCTTTTGGTACATGGAAATGTTTGTGTACCCTTTTCTTTTATACTGAAGCGTACTTACAGAGATAAATTCAGAGGTCTAGTCTCAAGTCATAATCCAGTGAAAAAAATTCTAGATCCACGATAAGTACCTTTCTTCTAGTATACTACTATGTTATTTGGCTTAGCAAATGACGTTGGAGGAATCAAGAAGGTAGTACATGAGATGACTTTTGAAGGAGGAAGTAAGGATGAGACCTCACCTGGCTGAGGCTGTACTGGAAGATGAGGCTTTCCTTCCCACAGGTGGCCTCGGCAATCTCCGGCAGCCAGTTCACGAAGCCATCGTTGGCCGGCGATGCGCGCATCGCAGATCTCTCCTTGCCCCTACAGAAACCCCAACCACCCTTCTGCAGACGAAAGGATTCGCGGAGCACGCAGGGATCAGCAACGAGCAGGCACATGGAGTGGCAGTGGATTAGGATGGAAACCAGGATGGAAACCAGCACCTGCACCTTCTCCTCCCACCTGCTCCTGGATCTGGATCAGCACCTGGATCTGCCATCTCTTCGACCTAACTGATCTCTCTACTCCGATTTTGTGACAAGATGTTGCGTCGCTAGGGTTTCTTCTCTCGATTTGGGGATCGAACGGGGAATAGAACAACGTACCCGTGGGCTGGGTTAAAAACATTTGGCGGGCCGGCCATCGCGAGTAACGACCCGTCGCTAGATCGCCGTCAAACCCATCTGCGGTCAGCCACAAACACCGTCTCCCACGGCGTCAGTGCCCGTCACGCACACACATTAACTCCCCTAACCACCCATCGGTCCCACATCGGAAATTATGCATCTCGATGGAAACGAACGCCTCTAGATACCGATAGCGCACGAGCTCGTCCGCGCCGGTGAATTTCCGGTTTATAAGCTTTGTATAAATATTTGAATCGTCCAAACATCTTTCCCCCGCCTACAGACTAAAGTTTATAGCAATTTCAGTTTTGTTAAAATCTTGCACTTTGAGCACTGCAATTTTAGGCCAAATAATTAGTAAACAGTTTTAGAGGACTGAGATTTAAGAAAAATCCAGGAAGCCGATAATGGATACTCCAAAATAACTTTGAAAAATGTGCAACCTTGTGAGATAGTTTATGTATATAAGCACATGTTTTGATTTATTTTTTCCATGTTGGAGGCTTTAAAATATTTATTCACATACTTCAGTTGAGTTAACACATGAATGATTAGTTGGCTATTTCCCTCAATTTGACTTCCTGATCTGCTAATTGTTTGCCCAGATTTTGCTAGTCACTTCATCTTCATGCATGTCTTCTATTGCACAAAATTTACGGTGATATTTCACACTGAAAACCAAATGTTCCCATCCGAAAACTAAATTAGGCAATAGGGCTTTGTTACGTGTTATCTATGGATATATACTAGTAGTTGGTTGGATATAGAATTATACATTTGTGTATGTATAGTAGGCTTTAATTCCTTGCGGTTGCATATATCACGAGTACTATTGTACTCCAATATCTAGCTAGCTGGGACCATCTATGTACATACTGTCAGATCAATATGTCATGCCATGTATTTATGGATGATACGTATATATGCATACAGCTGCAACCCATTTACACGGAGATCTTCAATATGTATAGTACATGTGAATTGATCGATTGGACGAACAAGTTCGTATAATGTCTAGTGTACTACATATATATACATGCATGTACTATCCATTCCATGCACTAGGTAGTACTCCCTCCGTTCCTAAATATAAGTCTTTGTAGAGATTCCACTAGGTGGACTACATACGAAGCAAAATGAATGAATCTAAACTTAAAATGCACCTATATACATCCGTATGTGGTTTATAGTGAAATCTCTACAAAGACTTGTATTTAGGAAGGGGGAGTATATAGTTGTTGTACCGTGTACTAAAGCGAGGCATATCCTGTCCCAAGTTTTCACCAATGTTTTTCTCGTGTTTAATTACATCCTTTTTATAGATCTGTTTGTTGACTCTCTCTCTCTCTCTCTCTCAGACATGCATATCATGCACATATGCATGTTTCTATGGTGTAATTAACCTACTCTGATTTCATTTTTACTCCCGTTTATGCAGAATTATCTCCCTACTGGCTATATCTGAACTCTGAAGTCATGACATTTCTCAGATCAGGGAAGGCGGATAACCAAAGGCGCTACCCATAGCTAGGGTTTCCAGCTGATTGATCGATGCTCTCCTACAGCATCCCTTGAGACCGAGCTGGATCTTGAGCCTATTACAGACGGGTATTGATCAAAGACGATGCATGGAGTACAACGCTTTCTACTGATGACAGGATTTGCTATTGATTTTGCACTGCGCCTCATTATTGGACAGGCCCGTGCAAGTCTCGATCTCATGGCAAAATTATATGCCCACCTAATTAGCTTCAGCCTATCTGTTTGATCTACTTGACCCTTGGCATGTAGCAATTTGATAGTAGTAGTATATGGTCTTCTTGCACAATAGTATTGTATTAACCTAAACTTTTATGACTTTCTAGCTAGCTAGCTGCCTAGCAGGATTAGTTTGTTGTGGATGTATATATATGTTCAAGATTCTGCATATATGCAGTGCAGTATCGGCGTGATCATACAGCTAGATCATTCAACGCTTTGTTCTTTATTACTCCCATCAACTTCGAATCTGATTTTTTACTGAGTCTCAACATTCTAGATAAAATTTGCTAGCACTATTGTAGAACTATGATAACTAGTATAGAACTTTTTTTTTGAGTGGCACTAGTATAGAATTGTAGATACCTTAATCGTGCAAGGGCAAAAGCACTAATTTTACACAGGTATCGGACCAGACACTATGGGAGTGTTGCTTATGTGCACGGCCCAGCAAAACACGGTGGGCTGCGGTCCGTGTGGTTGGCCGTGGCCCGTGTGCGATGCTAACAGATTTGACCCACTTGCCGGGGTAATTGTCTACCCCTCCCCTCACGGGCGCATCCTTGCTGGACACCTTACTGGACACCAACCAACCATTCTAGATCGTTCACAGTGCACCACCATGTCCACCAATATGCTTCATGGCAAAATTCGTGCATTGTAGAGTCGAAAACTTCTGCAGAGATTGCATCTCCATCCACCATCGCCGCAATTCGTGAAATCGAGGTACGTCATTCTTGCAGATAAGGAATGTGCTGGGATCGCCTCACCCTTCCTTTTGTCCAACATCTATCTCTATCTCTATCTCTATCTATATCTCTACATTGCCATCCACAGCGAGTCCTCGTCGTCGCCTCCATTGAAAGCGGTTGGGAGATAGTCATTTGAATCAATGAATTGATCTCCGTCCTCCCCTCTCTATCCATTGGCCGCCATCATGCAATTCCTCTTTATTAGCATCTCTTAAGACCTTCCCACCCCCACCTTTCTATATAGGTTAAATGATAGACTTTACAAATGGGGTGGGTTTGTGCCAAATTTGCACACATGCCGAAATGGGCTTGGGCGATGCCGTCAGCTATCTGTGTGCAATAACTGAAAAAGAATAGTAAACATTCCTTTCCGACAGAGCAAATCGATATCCATGGTTAAATTAGGTTCTTGGGGTTTGACGTGGGGACTTTTTTTTAATTAATTGCACTGTGATGTGAGCATAATAAAATATCAACACATTTTTACTAATTTCGATTCACTTTTCACTTTTTAATATAGAAATTGCCGTTTTTTACCCCCAAAGTCAATGCACTCCTAATATTTTTGGGGTGGTACTCCATCATATTTGTGTTGGAGCAAATTGATATCATTCACTATCATCCATCGAATTGACAAAAATGGATGGCCCATATTCACTTCATGGCACCATAAAAGAGCCCTATATGTAATACTCCCTCCGTTCCACAACGTAGTGCATATAGATTTTTCTAGAAAGTCAAACTTTACAAACATTAATCAACTTTATAAATAAAACTATTTATATCCCCAATACCAAAAAAGTACAATATGGAAGTACGTCTTGCGATGTAACTAATGGTATGTATTTGGTATTCTAGATATATATGTTTTTTACCACAAACTTGATCAAAGTTTGTAAAGTTTGACTTTTGAAAGAAATCTATATGCACTACATTGTGGAACAGTGAGTAATGTGTGCTCTTAAATTGCTTTCTATCATGTGTGCATCTAGTACAAGGAATTAGGAATGTACTGTGCTCCTTTTAGAAAAATGCTGCTAGCTTGCTAAAGTAAAGTTGATGCCTGCACCACCTGCTTTCTAGTGTGCGGCTATCAACTTTTGGTTAAATTTGGTGTGGATGGAATGTTCCCTTCGGTTCGACCATACCATATGCCTCCACATTCGATCGTTTTCAGTGTTCACATGCAGAGAGCAATGTGCACTGTGCACGCCAGAGCCACACCCCTTTTAATGGCGACCTGACCTACGAAGGGTTGATGTGCATGCATCTCACCGCTCTGTGCCTGTCAGGCTCAGATAGTTGGGAAGGATCGAACGAGGCATTTAGCGTTTCCTGCGCTTTGTTCATGTCTAGCGTGTGTAAAAATGAACAAATCTAGCATTTTTTTTCATGAAAGTTTAGCATAAAATGACCAGTATCCAAGAAAAGGAACACAAAATGACCCATCTGCACAACACCCGGGGCTGGGGCGTCATGCTAGATAGCACAACGCCCTTGGTAGAGGTAGCCCGGGACATCATGCTATCTAGCATGGCGCCCTAACCTAGCTAGGGCATCATGCATATGGATTTATTTGTAATTTGCTTTTGGATCTGGTCCATTTTGTGCTAAAGTTTCAGAAAAGGGCTAGATTTGTACATTTTCACGTCTAGCATCGCTATCATTTTCTATTATTCTACTCCCTCTGTACCAAAATATAAGACGTATTTGTAGGCTGTTCATTTAGCTATTTTTTATGAGAACGCTATCATGACTTGCTTTATTGATCAACGCAAAACAGTACAAAAGCGCAGATTCAAGAATAAAAGAGGGAGAATCATCTACCCAATTACACGAAAGATGATTCTTGTAACATTGTTTATCTATCTCATGTGTGCAATTACTCCATTGGCTTCCCGGGTGCAACGCTTGAAATGGGCATTACCTATCTTCGTCGCAAGATGATGCAATGAGAAAACAACGTTGCCCCTTCGGTCGACCGTTTAGTCATTCCCCCATAAATCTCACTAACTTCAAAGTACTCGGATCAGCAATAATTTGATGATACCCAGGGACGCCGCTAGAGAAAGTCCCTCTTTTATTGCAAGTGCCTGCATCACATAAGTTTCCGATGCATTAGGAACAAAAGAGCAAGATGCGACCACTAATTTTCCATGATTATCTCGGATCATGGCACCAGCCGATCTAGGCCCTTCCTTTTTGTGACAAGAAGCATCAATATTGAGTTTCAGCAGACCAACCCCCGGTTTACACCATTTGACATTCTCCATGTGTTAGCTCTCGGAGTAGTCTATGCAAAGTTTGTGCACATAGCTCATATAAATAGTTTTCAGTTTCCTACTGGAGGGGTGCCATCTTCATGTGTGACCATTCGTTTAATCCACCACAGGTACCATACAGAAACAACAGTAACTTCCAATAATCTCACTAGTGACAAACCTGGATAGTGACCAGACACCGAGTCACTTAGGGCCTCCAAAATAGCTGACCCCGATCTAACGAACCCCGAGGCAGTAGCATTGAGTGGTTCAAGCTCGAGGAGTTTCCGCAGTTCATGTGCCGGACTGCAACCGCAGAACAAGTGCATATATAAAATCCTATGGAACAATCGGCATATCGAACACTGACCGTATCGATTTGCTGGTTAATTAGGATGGTTTCACCGGAACCGCATCGTGCAATGCTCTCCATAGGAAGATCTTGATACCCCCGGCTGATCGTCAGGTTGTACGTAGATGTATCTTTCTATTTTCAAAACTGGCCCTTTTAGTTTTCAATAAATTTACATTTCAATCCTTAGCAATCTAGCCAGCGAATGGCTCATGTAAAAACGAGATTTACAAAAAACCAAGGGGCCGTAAGTAGAAAAATGCGACTTACCTAATCGCGAACCTTGTTAGTGATTTTTTTTAGCTTTGTCCCTTTTAGCAAAAGTGTGATTTTGATTGATTCGTAGTGATTTGGATTACCAGGTTAGCATGTTTCTTTTTTTCCTAAAAAAGAGGTTAGCAAGTTTTTCGACCGGTTAATCGTGTTTTTAAGTTTGTGTGCTCAAAATATTTCACTTTGTACCCATAAAAATATTACATTTTTTGTAAGTTTGCGTGCTAGAAATATTATCGCCACACAAGTTGGTGTACGCCCGGTATAATTACCTCTTTTCTTTTCACAGAAACGAGCGTGTTTACGAGTGTGAAGCGGAGCTGGAGAAAGGTGTCGCGCGCGCGCACAAACACGTACGTGGGTGTCGGTGGGAAAGCGGGACGAACGCCGATCCACACACCTACACGACGCGGTCCAGGTGAGGTCTGGGTCGTCGACTGGCACACACACATGCACGCCCGCGTCCGCGCCCGCGCCTTGGCGCCGTTGCACGCACCACTTGGCGATCGACCTTGACCTGCAGGACCCAGCACGGCGGTTTCCGCCGCAGATTCGATCATCAAAGTTGTCTGGCGCGATCACCGGCCGGCATCATCCACGCTAGCACTCCACCTGTTGTTCACAGGCGTCGATCGACGACTTTGCCTTCGCTGTGGGCGCCGGGCCGGTGTGGAGTGGGACGGGGAATAGCATCCCACCAGTGGAGGATGGAAGCTGGAACTGAACGACGTGTGGAGTAGGCCGGTAGAGATGCGTGCCGACCCGGGGGCGAGAGAGATGGGCCTGCTGCAGGATGCTCGCCCCGCGCGTCGCATCGATACCGGCCCGCGTGGCCTCTCTGTCTGCTCCCTGCAACATATCCCGCGACAGAGGAAACTGAAACTCCATTCCTGGGTCCTTCTGGTTCAGTGGGGATCATGTGACTAGTCGATTACGCTACTGGCCAACAAGCTACAATTCTAGAGTGAAGCAAAACACACGAGCAAAAAATGAGGAGCAACTACAAACTTGATGAAAAAACACATTGGATTCTGTAATGATTTCGGCAAAACAGGCTACAAAGTTCGTT